GAAAGAGGTGCTGAGGTCACACAGGCAGCGGGTGGCATTGCTGACCTAAACCAGGCCTTCCTGGACTCGGGACCCATGTGTTCTGCACCCCTACCCCCCTCCTTCTCCCATCCAGGCCCCAGGTGTCAACACCCTGAGCCCAGAGGCCTTGTCCAGATACAGATGGCCCCACTGCCCTCATACTCCCCAGGCTTTTGGCATCACCTGCCCTCTCTTGGGCACCTGCTCTAGTCTGGCCCCCATCAGGGGCTCTTCCCAGCTCTCCCTGGACCATCTGGGGGGACAGAGGCCCTTTGGGAAGGGGTGAGCCTATCTCCTGTCTACATGAAGATCAGAAGGCTCACCCTTCTTCAGCCGTGACCGCTGTGCTTTATTTCTGGAATCTCTCTCCAAGATCTTCAGTTTGGGACCAGTGATGTCCCATGACCATTCAAGCTCACCTGAAGCCCTCTCCCTGAAAGCTCCCGCAGCTCCATCTCCCAGGTGAACCCAGTGACCACAGCCTCCCCACTGCCTCGGTTCAAAGGCATGAAACTCCCAGTTCACCAGGCACCCTTTTCCCTAAAATGCTTCCACTTGGTCCCTGTCCTCAAGGGGGAAAAGGTGGGCTGCCTCTGGGCCAGCTAGGGCTTTATTATTACCTAGTAACACTTCATTCCACAATTCACAATAATGACGATGATTACGATAATAAAAATGATGAGAGCTTTAGTAGTTCCCATTTAAAGAACTACTTTCAGGGACTTCCCCAGTGGTCCAGTGGTTAAGAACCCACCTTCCAGTGCAGGGGACATGGGTTTGATCGCTGGTCAGGGAACGGACCACCCACTGCCATGGGTTAACTAAGTCTGCACACTGCAACTAGAGGAGCCTGCATGCCACAGCAAAGGCCCGGTGCAGGGGTGGGGACGGGGCTCAGTATTCCTGAGACCCCTGTTCAAACTCCAGGCTCTCCCCTGTGCCTTTCAGGGACAGGACGGGCTAAGAAGGGACGTGGGGGCAGGAGCTGGGCAGAGAGACCAGCTGTGTGTGCTGCTTGAGGCAAGGTGGTCAGGGGCTGACTGAGTGAGGGAGGGAAGCTCAGACTAAGCTCTGAAAGTGGCAGGTAGGGTGGGGGTGATGAAGGACACAGTCTGCAAAAAAGTTGGGGAAGGGCGATGCCCCAGGCAGAGGATAGGGCAAGTGCAAAGGCCCTGGGGTAGACTGTGCTGTGAAGGCCAGAGGGCTGTGAGTCAGGGGCAGGGCAGATGAGACAGGGCCTTCTTGTCCTGGTGAAGAGGGTGATTTTATTCTAAGCGTGGTGTGGGGGTTGCCAAAGGGTTTTAAACTGTACCTATTATAATCCAGTTTATGGCTGTGTGTGGACAATGCAGTGCTTCTGGGTAAGGGTGAGGTCTGCTGTTGGTGTCTGTGAGAGCCAGGAGTGGCATGAAGGTGGGGTGATGGGGCGCCCTGAAATCTCTAGGGGTGTGGAAGAACTGCTCCTATTTGTTTATGGTGGGGGGACCCTTCCACCGGACAGGGAGCCCCCAGGGTGAAAGGCAGAGAGGCCAGGCTGGGGCAGGCAGGCAGGAAGGGAGGGGCCGTGGTCTCCCTGTGTGCGGCTGGGTGAGTGGCTGGTGTGTCTTCCCTTGCGGCTCCCTCAGGCCATCAGCTTCCTGACCTCCCCACTCCCATGCTATTCCGCAGCTTTCTTGGGCTTGGTCTGTGGATTGTGGGCTTTTTCTCTTGGACACAGGGAAGGCAGTAAGGCCAGAAGGTCAAAGAAAGACTCGAGGTCCGGGCGTCAGACGGAGTCTCATCCCGCGGGTGCCCAAAGCTCTCTGGTCTCACAGCATCCCTGCGACAGAGGCGCTGTCAGCACCAGCCCATTTTAAAAGTGAGGAGACTGAGGAACCGAAGGTTAAGTCACTGCCTCACGCTCACCAGGCTGGCGAGTGGTGGATGTCACTAGGAACTCAGAATGGTCTGAACGCAGAGCCCGAGCTGGCACGGCAAAACCAGGAGGTGGCAAACCCCTCTCTGGGGATGTTCTAGTACCTTCATCTGGGTCAGTGAGGTCAGTGCCAAAGTCGCCTCCTTCCGTGCCAGGCCTGCAATCTTATTTCAGGAGAATCCACATGGCCCCTAAAAGGGCGAGCAGTGGGGAGGGAGGGTATGGACCCCAGCCCTGCTGTTCCTGGGACCCACGGCAACTTGGGAGCCTGGTTACAAAGGGTCCCTACCCCGACACCATGGTCTGATGTTGGGGTTGGGGGGACACGCCACTATAAAGACTGGATGAGACACACTGGGTCTGTGTCTTTCACTTCTGTTACATTCCAAGTATGGGCTAGGATGGGTTAGGAGGCACCTGCCCCCCAGGGAATGGGGGACACGCTCAGCCTTGCAGGGCGATCAGCGTTGTGTGGTATTGCCTGGATTCCAGGCCACTCTGGAAATTGCCAAATGTGGATCAGAAAGTCCTCCCAGAAAAACACAAGAGCAAATTTTACACAGCCAGTCAGAAGACGCCAGGGCTCTGACTCGGAGCCCCCCAGCCCTGCAAATGAAGAGGGAAATGAAAATGCCGATGAGTGCTTGCTCTGGGCTTTACTTGGATTGACTGGTGTGGTCCCAGCACAGTCTGTGAGGTAGGCACAAGATCACGCCCATTTTACAGAAAGAGAAACTGAGGCTCGGATGGGACCTTGTTGGTCCAGAGTCACAAAGCTGGGGGCGGCCGGGCTACTGCTCTTTCCTGTCCATCACCCTCATCTTGGCGGGTGCTGGGCTGGGATCTCCAATAGGTGTGGGCATGGGGGCACCCCAAGTCTGGGATGAGCCTTGGGACCCCACTGTCTAGGCCTGGGGACCTGCTCGCATTTTGTGGGGTCCCTGGCCCATAAGTAGAGGGTGTCCACCGCTAGTGGATGTGGCTGAGCTCTACCAATGAGCTGGTGTCTGAGCTTGGAGCCTGGTGCTTTGTGAGCGGCCCCATGGTCAGCATGGACGGACGGAGGATGCTCTGGTGACTAAACCACGGCTCGCAGTCCTGAGTGGCGAGGAAGGGGCAGGACAGAGGCCATGTCCCAGACTCTGAGCCATTCGTCCCTTGATGAGATGGAGGTGGGAACTTAGCAGTCCTAGGAGAGGACAAGAAGAGAAGTTTCTGGAGCCGCCTTACATGCTCAGCACCGTGCCTGCGTTTTTTTTTTTTTGATGAATTCGAGTCTTTCTTGCTAAAACCCTATGTGGTAGAAACCAGTTAGTAAGGCAGAGGCCGGGGCCAGGGAGGCGCGCAGACTCGGCTGGAGTCCCTGGTCTGTGCTGGCTGGAGCGGGGGGGTGGGGTAGGGGGCGTCACGCCCAGATAGTCCAACCACACAGAGTGGCCGTCACCCTGGGGGTTGTTCTGGGCTCGCGGGCAGTGGGGCCTGAAGGTCCTTGCTGCCACGCAGCTGCCCGCCCTGGAGTGAGCACCCCGAAGTCCCTCTGTGCTCTGACCTTCGCACCAGGTGGATGGGGCCCTGCCTGCATCTCAGGGTTGCGGCGAGGAGGAGCAAGTCGGGGGACTCGTGGGAGCGGCCAGTGGCTGGGCTTGACTCGGGGCTGGGAGGTTTGGCCACTTCAAGGACGAGAACACAGGCAGGAAGACAGAGAAACGTGGAGGGTTAGTCTCTGCTTCGCCCAGGGGTGGCCCCTCTCCCAGTGCTGCCAGCCACCCCTGCCCATCATCCTCCCACCCGGGAAAGAGAGGGAGTAAGGCGCTTCCCAACGGGGGCAGAGGTCAGAGCACTGTGCGTGGTGCAGAGGGAGCCAGAGGGGCTGAGTCAAGCGGAGGCAGCGGCTAGGGAACAAGTAGGAACTATTTCTGTTTTCTTGGCGGTCATGGACTCTCAATGGGGCAGTAGGCAGCTGGCATATGGCAGGTGTTCAGGAAATGAGGGGTGACTAGATGCTCAAGGACTCCAGAGGCGATATGGAGGGAATAACAATTATAGAGGTGGCTTTAGAGAAGAGGGGTTATTTGGCTTGGGCTTTGAAGAATGTGGAGGAGCTCTCTGTGAGAAGACGGGGAAGGGGACAGAGATGCACATGTGGCAGGACGGTCATGGTAGGCTCAGCAAAATGTATGTCTTCTGTGTTCCAAACACTACTGATGATCTCCTATGTGCTATAGCTCTTAGCTTCTCCACAATTCCACAGGCAGCTATTACTATCACCCCACCCAAGTGAGGGAACTGAGCAATGACAGCTAAGTCTAAGGTCACTCAGCTAGGAAGTGGTGAAGCCAGGACCCAAGACACATCAAAGCCCATGGTCTTTCCTCTGTTTGTAAAAGTCTCTGGTGCTGCCCAGAGATCACCAGGGAGACAACGGGTCAAGCGAGAGAATGTGCTGGTCCCTTCGGCCCTCCAGGAGAGGAATTGCGGGAATGGGAGAACATTAGCTTAGATTGACTTTGTCTGTCCCCTGCTAATCTAACCACTCATTCATGGTGAGCTTGTTTAGAGGCAGCTGTTAGAGGCTGTCCCAATCCCCTCTCCTCCTCTGGCTCAAACAGCACCTCCTCTGTGAAGTCCTCCGGGTGGAACTAATCGCCCTCATGACCCTTAGTGGCCATGTCCCCCACTGGGTCAGGGGCTTCTGCAGGCAGCGGGTCTCCCCAGGGCCCAGTCAACACTTGCCCTGGAGAGGAAGCATCTTGGGTCTCTTCCAGGTGGTCCTCGCAGAGTGACTTGGTCTCTGAGGTTATTTCTTCATCTCATTCCTACGAAACTGACACCAGCACTGGCCCTTCTCTTCTCCAAGCCTACCTGCCTGACCCGAGCACTTCCACTCCTCAGCGGACTCCTGGCCTCTGCGCTCATCCTTTTGGCCACCTACCGTGTCCCCAACAGCTGCCCGACGGATCCTTCCACTCCTGCTCTGCTCCAGGAGCTCCTGCTGAGTGCAGAGAGGCGGTCCCAGGGCCTCACCTGGACCGGCCCCTCCCTGCATCTGCCAGGTATGCTCCTTCCCTGAGACCCCCACTCCCACGTCTCCTCCCCAGCGAGGACCCCCGTTCTCCAACCCCCTCACTTTGAAGCGCTTCTCACCACTGATGGCGGGCGTTGCTTCGTTTGGGGACAGAACTGTTCCATTTATAGCCGTGTTCCCTGCCTCAGCACACTGGTGGGTACCTAGTGGGGGCCTGTGAGCATGTCAAATGGGAGGCTGAGCAAATGGGGCAGGAAGGGGCGACATGGTGGAGCTGGCCCCTTGGGGAAGGTGAAGAAGGGGTGGGGGGCCTGCAAGGCCTGAGCCCCATGCCAGCATCACCAGCATCGTTAGTCACGTAGAGGAGGGAGAGGGAACCAGACGGACTAGGAGCTGAGGTGGACGCCTGCAGCGCAGTCAGCCCCTTCCTCTCCTCACCCCGGGTTTCCTCATAATCACCACAGGTGCACAATGGCCTCTGGAAATTGAATTTGTGGGCAGGTAATAGGAGTTGGGAAGTGGAAGCAAATAGATCCTGCAGGCCTGTCACTGACACCCCCTCCCCGTGACTGACAATGGGGTGGGTATGAGCTCTGGGAATGGCAGGTCCCTGCTCTCCTAAGCTGGCCTGGGGTCCAAGGGGGTCGCTAGTGGCGGCCAGCGGGAGTCCCGATGGTGGCAGCTACCATCTTCACTTTGGCAGAATTGTTTCTTCTTTCCCTCAGCCTGACCCATGATTCCAAGGCTGGTAAGGGGGCAGTGCCAGGCACCTGGTGCCTCTTATCCAGCTGGCCCAGGGGTGCCCTGCAGGTGGTGACTGTGGCTTAAATTCCTGGTGCCCCCAGTGGCCAGCACAGGGCACCCCCAAGGGCACCAGTCCACCTGGGGGACCTTTCAGAGAAGCACGGCCCACTGCCCAGGGGCTTGGGGGCACTGAGGGCCCCCTGCCACCTGAGTGTCCCCAGCACCACACTAGCCTAGCCTTGCCCGACTGAGCCCGGGAGATGGGAACTGGGGTGATCTTGTCCCAGGGCCCAGCACACAGTAGGTCGTCATCTGGTGAACCCAAGAATGGACAAATGAATGAGAGAATGAACGAGTAAGTCCTTCTTGGGCACTGAGGTGGGAACTTTTAAATAATAAAACAGCAGTTGTCAGGACAATTAAACAGAGGCAGGACGAGAGGTGCTGATCCTGGGGAAACTGAGGCAGGTGGGGGCACAGCTAGAAGAGGAAACTCACACGGGACAGGTACTTTAGAAACAGGGTCTCACCTGACTCTTACGCAGCTCTCCCGCCCCCGGCATGAGGTCACTGCCCCCACTTCACAGATGGGAAAAGAGAGGTGCAGAGAAGCGTGCACCCCCGAGGCCTCCCAGCTAACACGTGGCAGCCCCTGGCTTCCATCTCAGACAGTCCAGTTTGCAACATGCATGCTCTGTGCTGGGAGGGGAGGGGCGTCTCCCGACGGGCCCCCTGGGAGCGGGGATGTGTGGTGGGGCCCAGGTCAGCCAGGACTCTGACAGGGCAGGTGGTCACAGTCTGGATTGAGGACTGGCCGCACAGACCTCGGCTCTTCCTGCGCTGGGTGACCCTGGGCAGGGCACGTGCCCTGTCTGGGATTGAACCCCTGATGTATAAAATGGGGGGACATGGCTGTTCCCCTACCCCTCTTCTCTGCGGCCACCTTCCACTGTCTTCCTGACCTCCCCTGACGGTGAGGGTGAGGGCTCCTCCTTCCTTCGAAAACCCCTCAAGGCCCCTGGACTTGTCCCAGCACCTGTGCAGGCACTGACCCTGCAGCCCAAGCACTGACCGGAGGCTGTGTGCCGCTGACTGAGCGGCCTCAGTTTCCCCATCTGTAATATGGGCCACTAGGAGTGCCTGCCTTGGGGCTGCGGCGAGGACTGAAGGAGAGAAAAGAGTGACACCAGCACCTGGTGAGGGCTCCACGGCAGCCCCGAGACCACCTTTGTTACTACATCGGAGGTGCTGATGTAACGTGCCCCACCCCTTGTTACTGTCACTCACGTCGGAGGTGCTGACGTAACGTGCCCCTCCCCTTGTTACTGTCACTCACGTCGGAGTTGCTGACGTAACGTGCCCCTCCCCTTGTTACTGCTACTCACGTCGGAGTTGCTGACGTAACGTGCCCCTCCCCTTGTTACTGCTACTCACGTCGGAGTTGCTGACGTAACGTGGCCCTCTACCATCAGGCCTGGGAGCACCACTGGTGGTGCGGCGGGGGGCGGCGTGCTGTCATAGGAAGGCCAGTACACAGCAGGTGATCAATAAAAGGGAAATGAATGAAGTGATCTGGTTCATCAAGGCCAAAGTAAGTACAATACAATCCCCACTCCTCCAGTCAGAAACTGGAGGTGCAGGGGTCTCCCCTGGGGGCTGTGGGGCGGGGGGAGCCGTCAGCGACCAGCTGACTTCACGGCCCGGAAGTGATACGGTCTGAGGTCACAGCGCTGCCGCTGTGCACTCGGTGACCTTGGGCAGGTCACTTGCGCTCCCTGGGTCTCGGCTGCCTCGTAGGTCCACTGGAGGTGGGCAAGGACTCATCTACCTCCTGGGGCGGTGGCGAGGATTAGCAAGTTTATGGGAGCTTGGCCCCCCGAGGGCTCAGCACCGGAGGGGGGGCCTGGCGTATCTGGCTCAGGCTGGGCCCCCAGCACCGCCCCTCCTGGAGAATGTGTCAGGCCCCGAGTCCCCACCGAGCGACACCCAGCACCCCCTGCCGGCCCGGCCTGCACGCGGAGCACCCCGCTTGCTGGGAACAGCTGCTCAAATCCTATTTCCCCGACATCAAAAGCCTCAGTGGGTTTTCACCAAACAAACATAATGCAGAGCTGGAGAAAGGTGTAAAATAAATAAACGAAACAAGCTGTGCGTTTTCTTTCCGTATTACAGCTGCACCCGAAGATAAACAACAAGTGAATGTCACCAAACATCAATACCCGAGAAATTAACTTGACAAAGAGCTCAGCCGTCCCCCAACAACCCCCTAGTCCTGCCCCCGTCCCCCCCCCACCTCCCAACCACCCTCCAACCACCATTTTGCATTTCTGGAGTTCCCCATCTAATGATTTTATTTTTCAATTAATTCCTTGACAGGATGCCAGCCCGCGTCTCTCTCCCGTCCCTGGCTGGCGCTGTCGCCCTGCGTGCAAGGCGGGAGGCGGGCAGGGGGGAGGGTGCGAGCGGGTGGGCGGGGGCGCGGGGCTGTTGGGAGGAGAGGAAGCTTCATGGCTGGTCAGGGAGGAGAGGGTTCTAGAAGGGACCCCGGTGTGACTGGCTGCGGACGAGGGGTTTGTGACTGATGGTGTGGCTGGCTGGAGCCAGGCTGCCCGGATTGCAGGTGAGGCTGCTGTCCCTGTGGGGCGCCTGGGGGCCGGGGCCTCCCTGCTCTGTGCTCCGTTTCAGCAGGTACTGAAGAGCACCCGGCTTCTTGGGGGCCGAAGAACCATCATAGGAGCAGAGGCATTGAAGGCCTTTGCAGCAGAGTCAAGCACCCACGAGGCACGCGGCGAAGGTGAGCCAACCCCGACTGTCATTAGTGGGTGCAGTGACAGAGAACACGTGGGCCGGTCACCTCCCTCCTGCCTGAAACGAACAAGAGCGGCAGTACCGGCCCTCGACAGACAACAGTGGCCGTGGCGGCTACTCCTTCCTGGGGGTCACCCTTGGCATTAGCGGGCAACTTGGGGACGTACTAACGGCTCCCTACCCACACGGAGGGCCAGGGGCCTTCTCTATGAGGACACCCCCGGCCCCGGCCCAGGGGAGGCTGGCAGTGCTGGGGGCTGAAGCCCCTGGAGAGATGTCCCAGCTCCTTCAACTTCTGGGGGACAGTTCGGAGCGGCACAGCTCTAGGGGGCCCCCCTGGGCTGCACACTGCACATACACTGCTCACCGGCTCCTCTCCCAGCTGCTCTGCTGGGAGCCTTACCCACATCTCAGGGGCTGCTTCCGGTGAACCCAAACTAAGGCATGCAAACGGCAAACACAAAGTGTCTCCCAGTGACAGAATGGCACGAAGCAGGGCCTCACGGGGCCGGCGCGCTGAAGTGTCTGGATTTGCTGACATCATCGAACATTAAAAAAAAAAGTTACTAATAAGGAAAAACGGGAAAGGCTATACAAGTCTCCATGTCTAGTTTCTCTTGAAACTGGCTAACCTGGCCACACTGGGCCCATGTCCCCAACTATGGGTAACTGATGGGTTGGGTGCTGGCTGCCCCTGGAGATGGAGGCCTCGCTCATTTGGGTGTTTTCCATCTGTTCCGGGAGGCCCCAAGCTTGCTGCTCCCCAAGACAAAGGGCAGGTGAGGCAAACTGTGACGTGCAGGCCCGTGTAGCAGGTTTCCCCTATTAAACCTGAAACAGAGGCAACTCCAACAGGCTGGGGGCGGCGGGCTAAAGGGGAGCAGGTGTACCCCTCTCTCTCGTCTGTCCCTCGAGGGGAGGAGAGGAAGGAGGTTGGGGTGGGGAGTGGAGGGTGGCATTCCAGGTGGGGACAGGGCACCATCACCTTCAGATGGCCTGCTGCCCCAGGCCATCGAGGGACATGAGGGTGCTGGAGACACGGGGTATGGGTCATGTTGGCAGGGGTGGGGGGTGGTTTGGGCACCCCAAGGGCTGGCCTAGCGTCTGAGGCTGCCTGCTCCCGGGTAGCCCTGCCTCCCACGCTCCAGACTTGCAGACCCCATGAGCAAAACCTTCAGATTCCCAGACAGGTCTGCATCCCAGGGCTCTGTTTACAGTAGGCGCATACTAGATGCTCACAGAATAACGGGCACTGTGTACAGACAGGACTAGCCTACCTCCCACGACCAAACCATGGCACTTTATTGGTACAAAGAGGCTGTTTCAGGGAGGTACCTTTTCAGAGCACAGCTGGTCCCCAAAGAACCACATGTGATCTGAAAGAATCTTCTCTGAGCCAGCAGGCGGGAGACTGGGCCCCAGGCCCACCTCTGCCACCTCAAGGATTTAAGGGAGCTGCTTAACTCCATTCCTCAGTGTCCCTATCTGTTAAATGGGGATAGTGCCTGCTCTCCTGATCTCAGGCCTTGAAGGTTCCAGTCTTTAGTCATTCATAGCAAGTAGTCGTTGAACAAACACACACACACCCTTAGTAGTCACTGAATACACACACACACACACACACACAAACACTAGTAGTCACTGAACACACACACACACACACCACACACACTAGTAGTCACTGAACACACACACACACTAGTAGTCACTGAAAACACACACACAAGTAGTCACTGAAAACACACACACAAGTAGTCACTGAAAACACACACACACACGTAGTCACTGAACACACACACACACGTAGTCACTGAACACACACACACACACGTAGTCACTGAAAACACACACACACACGTAGTCACTGAACACACACACACACACACGTAGTCACTGAACACACACACACGTAGTCACTGAAAACACACACACACGTAGTCACTGAACACACACACACACAAGTAGTCACTGAACACACACACAAGTAGTCACTGAACACACACACTAGTAGTCACTGAATACACACACACTAGTAGTCACTGAAAATGCACACACACACTAGTAGTCACTGAACACACACACACACACTAGTAGTCACTGAACATACACACACTAGTAGTCACTGAACACACACACACACACTAGTAGTCACTGAACACACACACACACTAGTAGTCACTGAACACATACACACCCCTAGTAGTCACTGAACACACACACACACACGTAGTCACTGAACACACACACACACACACACACACACTGTACCAGGCCTGGTGCTAGGGGTACAGCTGCCGAGAAAGCCGCAAACGACAGACCGAAGCAGCAGCCACAGAGGCCGTGCTGGGGTGCCGGGGCTGGCAGGGCTGGGCCGTGAGCTCTCAGCCACAGGTCCCCGGTCACCTCTGATCTACTCGGGTCTTGTGCTCCTGTCTGTGGAAAGGGCGTGACCAAAGTGGCCGCTGCAGAGGAGTCAACAAATAAGGTGCGGACAAACACAGCCGAGTGCCAGGTACGCTGAGGGGTAAGAACACAGGTGTCTTCGAAGAACACCCGGAGGGTGGGCAGTGCTCAGGAAACTGGGAAGCCAGTGGGCTGGGCGTGGACTCACAGGCCTCCCACGAGCCGGGAGGTATCACTGCCCCATTTTCCAGATGTGGAAGCAGCCGTTCTAGGGCTTTGGGGAGATGTGCCCACGTGGGGCCCTGATTGGGCTGGTCCTGGGGCCTTCCCGTCATGCCCCAGAGACACCTGTGTCCCCCGCTCTGCGCCCGCCCTGCAGGGGGGGGCAGCGGCCCAGACTCCTCAGAAGGCACTCCCGGACAGGAAGGGCGTGAAACAGATGCAGGCCACGTGGCAGCATCCCCTTGCCTGCATCAGCTGTTTTCTTCTCCAGGAGCTACTGAGGACTTCCTTGGTGGTCCAGCGGCTAAGACTCTGAGCTCTCAATGCAGGGGACCTAAGCTTGATCCCTGCTCAGGAACTAGACACCCATATGCCGCAACTAAGAGTTTGCAGGCTGCAACTAAAGATTGTGCATGGTGCAACTAAGACTGGGCACAGTCAAATAAATACATAAATCTAAAAAAAAATTAAAAAAAAGAAGCTATTGGTTCCCAACCCACAGCCTGATAGAATCATCTAGAAAACCTCTGATATCTGGACCCTACTCCAGAGGTTCTGATGCAAATGGCCTGGGGGGGGCACTGGTTATGACGACTACTGCTGTGATTACTCACAGTGCTCTGGACTCTGGCTCCCGGTGAAGCCCAGTGGGTCAACCCTGCTGTGCTCTGGGCGTCCTGGGGGCCGAGGAGTTACAGGTAGCTGGGCTGGTGGGTTCCCCTCCACAGGGGTTGGTGAAGCTGCCTGGCCTGGATTATTGTGGATTTAGTCCCTGGTAGGGTCGTGGGGCTGGGCTAAGCCTGGGGACTTTGGGGCTTGGTCCAGCATGTGTCTGCATTAGTTATAGATGCTGGAGTGGCCTGTACAGGCTGGGGAGGCAGTGGAGAGGCCAGGAGAAGGTGACTCACTGCAGAGGACCAAAAAAAAAAGAAAAACCAGGAGAGGCTGGAAGGTGTCCCCCCAACTCTCCTGTCTTGGGCCTGGAGGGATCTTCCCATTTCTGGGGGCTTGGTTGGCATTAGCTCCCTGTCCCTTTCCTCTTGTCAAAGTCCCTGGGTTGGGAGTAGAGGTTCAAATGAAAGAATCAGTAATGTCATCTCAAGGGGTGAAGGTGGGATGCTGTTTGTACCAGAATCTGTAAGTGCAAAGGCCTAAAGGGGCCAGGGAGGAATGTGATGGAGTTAATCAGTCTGAGTGGTGACTATAGGGAGGGATGCGAACTGTGGCAAAAGGGGGAAAAACAACAACAATAAAACAAACAGTCCATGTAATCAGGTCCCAGCTACCCTCTGTGAATGCAGGACCAGGACTGGTCAGATCTTATTTTTCAAGAGAGGCCAACAACAAGAGAAGCCACTGTAATGAGAAGCCCAAGCACTGCAAACTGGAGAGGAGACCCGCACATCCCAACTAGAGAAAGGCCCGGGTGCGGCAACGAAGACCCAGCACAGCCAAAACTAAATACAATTAATAATAATGTTAATTCAGAAAACCCACTTTATTTTCTTTTTTATCTTCTAGGCAAAATAAAGACCCATGATCTTAGCTGATGGCTAACTGCTGCGGCCTGATTTACTGTGTCTCTCCCCTCTGCCTTCAGAACCCCACTAGTTTCATTTGTGGTCCTGAAGCAGTAATGACAACCTCCTTGTCTGTGTGTTTTCCTTGGGTTTCTCAGGCCTGCGCCAGCCTATGGTTCAGAAACAAACCCGGCCACCCCCTGCCACCAGCCACAGACCTGGAGGCGAGTCCACCCTCCTCTGGCCCCTATTTCTAGCACTTTGGTCCCCAGGTCCCTGAACCTTCATCCAATCCGGGCTCGGCCCCTTCCCCTCCCAAGTTGCTCTGAAATTCTCCTTCTGTCAGTTTAATTCTGTGATCGATGAGGAAGAGCAGGAGAAATGGCCCGGCACAGCTGGTTTCCCCGTTAGCCCTAGCAGGGATTCCTGGCCTCGCTGGCGATGGCTGAGTGAAATGTTTGCAGAACGCAGAGAACACAAGTCAATAACAATTTAGTTGGATTGGGAGCAAGTACCTTCTCCGCACGGACAGCCACTCCCAGGGGAAGGTGGAGACAGTGTGCAGGATATTGCCGGAGCGCTTGGAAGTATTTCCAAAACACCACTCAAAGAAGATCGGGGCGTTGCGGGGTGGGAGGAAGGGGGAGGGGGTGGCCAGGAAGATACCTGCTCCAGCTTGCTCCAGGCCCCCTCCAGTCTCCCCAGCGCCTCTGTAGGGAGGAAACACTTGGCTCTCAGAACCTGGCTCCCTCCCCACAGCCCTGCCACTTGCACCCTTGCTAGCAGTTGCCACTGCGGAGCCACTGTGACCGAAACAATTCCTGCTTCCTGATTTTTTTTCTCTCGATTCTGCCTTCATCAGCTGGGGTGGCCAGGGGCATCTGAGGAAGAGTGTGTTTCCTGGTCGGTTTCAACCTCTCCTGCTGTTGGCTGGGAGCAGGAGAAGGAACTAAATTCCGCACCCTGGCCAGGGGCGGGCAGCCACTTTGAAGGGGCAGGGGTGAAACACCTCCTGTAAAGCGCCCCGGGGACCATGGTGGCCTTTACTCTGTCAGGGCCCTTGGTGGCAATCTAGGACAGTCTTCCCTCGCCTCCTGGGTCCTTCGAGACCTCTGGAACAAGGGCTGCCACCTCGAAGTCTTAAGGCAGGAATGAGAGGCACCCAAATGGAAGAATAAAAACGAGGTGAGGGGAGCTTATGGGAACCTTCTGTCTCCGGGTAGCTGGCAAGATCCATGGCAGAGGGATATTTTGAATAATAAATTCTGTGACTCCACATACTTGCTCGAACTTTCCTGACTGATTTTTAAAGTCTGAAGATTATGTTTTCATGGCCAAGATCAAGGAGGCCTATTTGCAAGGGCTGGCATGGGGATAACGGGCTCTCCTGGTCCTCGATCTTTTGAAAATGTGCCGTCCTGTGAATGATTAAGTTACGGAAGGGGAG